TTGGATCGTGTGATAATTTCTCAGAACTTTTTAATCATTTTTTGTAAATTATTTATTTGCAATTAAAATAAATAAATAAGTTTAAGAAATAGAGATTTTTTCCTTTTGTTTCTTTTTCTATTTCTATAATTTTATTTATATCAAGTATTAATTAATATATTATTGCACTATATAAAATACATTAAACATATATTTTTTTAATATTAAAATTCTTTCTTGTAATATTATTTTAAAATAACATATCATGAAGATTTTTTTTAATTTTACGCATACATATATTATTTATACCTTATAATAACTATTTATTATTTCATTATTTTTGTAAAATTTAATTTAATAGATATTAATTTATTGCAAGAAATTAAAGATTTAATTGGGCTAAAATCTTTTAGACCATTGGGTGAAGGATTCAAAAATAAAGGTTTTTTCTCTAGTTTATCACATTCATTAAAAATTATTTATTTTGATTTCTTTTAAATTGTAAAAGTATATTTTAAATTCCTAGTTTTTATTTATCATAGAATTTAAATGATATAAGTTTAAAATATTTTATAAGTTATTTCAATTTATAATTCAAAACTTTTAAAGACTTCTTTATTACAAAGATTTATAAACATAATTAGTTAAATATATATTTATTATAAAAAATTAGTTAAAATTTTAATCAAATCTTTTATATTTGCCTTAAATGATTGAAATTAATGTAATTATAAAAATATAATTTAGGACTTTATTAGAATCAGAAGTAAAATAGTAAATAAATTTTATTTTAATATAAATTTCAGTTAAAAATAATATTTTTAGAATCTTTTTAGAATACTCCTATTAACTGTGTTAACTAATTGGACTAAACTGTATGTTTTTAAAATAAAGGAAAGATATATGTAATTGAAACAAACTAGAAGAATAGTCAGAGTATTTTATTCTTGATTCAAAACACTCATATCATGACATGTCATCATCAATTAAAAAATACAACATAACAAATAGCATGGAAAAGGCAAAATGAAAAAAAGAAATTATGAGTGCTCTTCATTCATTTCAATTTTTCATTACTTACACCTTATTTTTACCTAAAAAATATATGAAAGCAATAGTTCATTAGAAGTGGGTAGAACACTTTTTTTTTTAATTTACCAACTTAATATATACCACATATTTGATATTTAGGGTGTATATATAATTATTTTTTAGTTTTATCTTACCAAATTTAAACTTCTCGAGAAGTATACTTTCATAAGAAAAAATAATAATCATATACCAAGAAAAAATGAAGCTTATATCAAAATCTTAACATCTTAAAACAATATAACAGATGATAGTTTTATTGTTAAAATAAGAGGCACCTAGTTTAGAAAGAGTACAAATATTTCAGATTGTTGAACCCACCACTCACTTCATGAAAATTAGAACAATGAAATATTAACTCGTCAAGGGTAGTATGGATGAAAAATAAAATTGTATATCACAATTGTAAATTTTTTAAAAGAAAAAATAGAAGAGAAACAACATACCCACAGCAGCAGTAAAAGAGCTTGTCTTGTTTGGAAACAAAAGTGAAAAAATAACAGTCCAGGAGAATAATGAAAATGAAACAACAAGTGTATAGAAGAAGAAAAGAGAACTCGGGGAAGAAGAAGAAGAAGTGAAGAGCAATGAAGCGCAAGGCGTGAAGAGAAGGAATTCACATATAGTATATATAAAGCCATAGATGCTGTAGCCTCACGGATTCTCGCATGCGTTGTCAGAGATGCTTATAAAGCACGTATAATTGGTTGGTCTTGCATTCATAAATAGTTGGTTTTGCACGCATAATTGTTGGCTTTGCCCGCATAATTGGTAGAAATTCAGACGCATGGGGAGTGAATAGGAAAAAGTGAAATCGTTTTTAGCGTGAACGATTTCACTTTTTGATTTTAAAAATAAAAATAAAAAGTGAAATTGTTCACGCTAAGAACGACTTGTGTGTAATTTGAAAGTCATTATTATCAAGAATAATTTTAAGTACAGTATATTAATAAATAATTTTAAAAATATAGTATTTTGATATATAGTTTTACTATTTATCGTATTAGTAAAAAAGCGTATGAATAGCTTTATATATCAATCATGGAAACACTGATCTGGAAACTGTTTGTCTTCATGCAACGACCAGGTCCAACACAATGAATCCGCTGAAACAGACCATTACCACCATCATTGCTTTGTCGGGCCCAAAAACAAACAATTGATTGGTACCCGAAAGCTTCGGTAAGAAAACTGCTTCGTAGGCGTAGCAAATCATCAACCCAATAGAGACAATAGTTCTTTTTTTGACCAGCTAGAGACAACACTTCAGGCTAACTTAGGATTAGAACCCCAAATTGGAAAAAAAAAAAAAAGGAAGAAAGAAAGAAACGAGAGCAAATTCTTTTTTGAAACCGAAGTCTAGATCAGCTAAGCTTTAAAAAAAAAAATTCATGTGGCTAAAGATGTTTATAACTTATTTATTAGCAAAATTCCCAGACAATAGAATATGACTCCATATCTTTGTTGGCAAAAGAGTGAGTCTTGTCCCGACTAATTTTTCCAATACAACAGCTGTTATCAACTTGACCAATTTGAATTGGCAAAAAATTAAGCAATTTAATATACAAAATTTTGGAAGACGGAAAAAAAAATTGCAATATGTTTTCCGGTTGGATAGTGCAAGGAAAATCGAGTCACTAATAGGAGGGGGACAAACAATTTGATATTGGCCTGCTATTCATTATGAGTTATGAAGACTGATGAAATTTGATCAGCTCACATACTTTCTTGTGTGAGTTCATTAATGGACAAGTGTGGGGACATTAGCAGAGCCAGATCAGAATGTGGCAAGGAAAAACTTCTTTTTTTTTTTACCTTAAAAAAGAAAAATTCAGGAGGATATCACTGAAGAAAAATATATGTATTTATCCAGTTCTAAATATAAAAAAAAATCTTATATTTAAGACCAGAAGAATATTAAAGAACTTTTGGGCAATTTGTGCATTTAAAATATTATACTACCTCCGGTCCTTAATATATGAATTTGTTTGACTTTTATTTTGGTGCTAAATATATGATTTTAATCCACTTTGTCTCTTATGTTTATGTTTATGCTTTTTTTAAAAATAGTCTTCTAATAATAGTAGTTCCAGCCAATACACTTAATTAGTATGAATATTTTAGGAAAGATAATACCTATTTATTACAGATAACTAACTTAATTTCTTTCTTTAATTTTCTCAAATTAGTCAACTAGTTTTTATAATTAGGATAGGAAGTAGTAAATAATACTGATATGTTCCTCGATGGCGGCATAAATCATAAATGTAAACGGAATAATAAAATATTTAAACTGCTAGACTGGAGCAAACCGTGTGCGCAAATTATTCAAAAATGAATGATTGTGTAGGGGTCGGGGCGTGAGGAGTGAGTCAAGAATTGTGGGGTAAGGCACATGTTGCCCAAGGAGTTCAAAAAAGCAGTACCCAATTAATGAGGGAAGCGCCTTCCTTGTGACCCCCAGCCAAGAGAAGCGTGACCAGAAGTCATCATGAATCTCTTATACTATTTCTTTCGGTTCCAAATGCACTTTTTAAAGAAAACATGATGATTTATAATATAGATCACTTGCTGGCTCATTAATAACTCACTTGTTGAGTCATTAATAATATAGTATAAATCAATTGGTGGGTCCCTAATTTTTTTAAAATCGTTTTTTTTTGAGCTGGCTATCACAATCTCTTAAAAAAGATTTAATTAAAGTCTAATATGTCATCTCTCAATGTTTTCTAATATAGGCAAAGTTTTGAAATATTGTATTTTCAGACTAGGTTCTATAATGCGATCAATAAATAACTAATTATAAACATATTTATGTAAATCAAGATAAATTTTTTTAATATTTAGTTCATATCCCGTAAATAATGATTAAAAATTTGCTTATAAATTATGTCAAACAATCCCTTATAATATGAACAAAAGAAAGTAAATCTCTGTTCCATCTCCCTAATTCGTTTCCCTTCATTGTTCAATATTAACTTTTACCCCTCGATTGAAGAGGAGGCAGAGAGCGCCATACCCATATGTTACTGAAAAGCGGAACAAAAGCATCCGAAACTTGAGGCACGAGCGTAGGCCCACCACGGTTAAAAAAGGAACGGCTTGTTGCCAAAGTAATGAGGGCTTAACAGTTAACAGCAAGCTAATGCGTCTCATAATTGAGGCCACCGAAATGATACAAAATCATCTCCCTCACGTCTCCCCCTCAAATTTCCTTTTATTTATTTATGGCTTCCATCTTTCCCTCACGCTTTGCCCTCACTTTTATCACCGGAATTCACTTAAATCAGCTTTTTAGGGTTAACTAGCGTAGTCCCCTCAACCTCAGCTCACATTGGAATGTGTGTGTGATAGCGTTCGACAAGTTACCATCCATGTGGCATCCTTGGTCTCCCACCAGCTCAACTTACCAAAGCACTATAACTCCGAGAATGTGAACCAACGCGGCACTTTCTGCACTTCATGTATCATTAATAATTCTTAACATAAAAGATAATTAATTAATTTAAATAGATTAAAAAATTATTAAATTCGTTATTTGTTATACAAAATATTGTCTTCTAATAATATATATTAACTAAAACTACTATTTAATAAAATTTTAATATATAATTATTATAAAAATTATTTGAAAAAAGTAGATAAATACAATAAATAAAATAAATTAATACCTCATATTTAAAACTAAATTAAAAATTAAAACATATATGTTATGGGTGTATTTATTTTATTTATATTGTCACTAGCTGTTTGTACACATTTTAGCATACTGCCAGACAAGTTTGCACGGAGCTCCAGAGAGTACTGCACTACGCCAACCCTACCAATACTGTTCTTGCAAAAACCCAAATCCACAGAAACATGGGCATCGGATATCAAGGAAATTACTACATTGCTCTGTACTACATCTAGCTAGCACCGTTAGCAAGCAATTAAGTCAAAAATAATATATTAAAAAGCTGCACAATTTCACTGGTGCGAGTAACGGAGATGCCTTTCAATTATACACTGTTTATAATCAAAATCAAAAGAGACTATGACAGAGAGCCAATCAGGAATGGGGAAGGGAATGGAAACAGTGGAACAGAGGAACAGGAGGATGGGGGGAAAATCTGTTATATCCCCAAAAGGATCGATAGGACAAGGTTCTGAAATCTCAATGAATGACCCATTAGAAAGAAGGCAACATAGGGGTGTATAGCCCCCACCTCACTGTTATCAAAAACGTACCTGCCTGGTGTTTTCATCTGAACCATCCTCGATCAGTTTCAAAGATACCTTGGAATTTCTGAAGCCATTGTCATTAAGGTCAATAATCGGGCATAAGCTGACTGATTTTTCCTTCGTCCAGCGCCATCTTCCGTTCCGTGACTTTTAACCATATGCACACTCCGGTGAAACTAAGCACCAGACTCGCGAGACCGCTTCCTAACCCGATCCCCACAATGGCTAAAACGGACAATCCTTTATTCCTAAGCGGCGGTAAAGGGTATCCGTAGAGATCCTTATTCCCTTGGAAGGACGTGGCGTTGAATCTCGGCAAGTTGCCGCTGCGGTTGGCTAGCGACGCCGGAATCGGACCGGAGAGGCGGTTGGTGGAGACGTCAAAAGCGGAGAGTCGAACAAGAAGGCCCAATTGCTGAGGAATGGGTCCAGTGAGGGAATTGTCATGGAGATCGATGATGTTCAAATAGGCGCACAGTGCGAGCTGCGGAGGAATCTCGCCTTCCAAATGATTGAAAGAGAGGTTCAAAACAGCGAGGTTGACCAAGGACTGGAGATCGGGAGGGATAGGACCGGTGAGGGCGTTGGAGGAGAGGTCAAGCGCTTGGAGATTGGTGCAGTTCGCAAGAAACGGAGAGATGGTACCACGAAGATTGAGATTCGCGAGCGAGAGCCTGTAGATTCGGCCGTTGTTGCAGGTAGCACCTTGAAGATTTGAAGTAGAATCGTTGCAAGGCTTAGCGAAGTTGGGTTCTCTCCAGTTCTGGAGAGACTTGTTGGGGTCTTGTAAGGACTTGCTTAGGTGGGTCAAACACGCCTCGTCACTGGGATCCGATAAACAACCCGGTATGGCCGCGATTGATAGTAAACACAGCACTAGCACAAGAATCCAAACACCCATCTACGAAACAGCACCCAAAGAAGCCGCGCAAAATTCAATTTCCAGTCCCAGTCTCCTTCTTCAACACTGATACTGAAGCGGGAAAGCTAGCTAGGAAACACAGAAAACGATCTATTTATGAGAGGGCAAGCATTTATAGCAAACAAAAAAGAAGGATGGGGGAACAGAGAAAAGTAGAGAAAGCGAGAGATGTCGGGGACTGTAGCATCCGTGTTCGATCCTGTTGTGTTAAACAAGTGAGGGGAGAAAATTAGGGAAAGAGAAAGAGGGATATGCGTGGTAGAGATGTCGAGAAGAGTGAAAAAGGAATTTGTGGATTTTTGTTTTCGGGATTGTATGTAGGGGGAGGTCTGGTCGAGGTGATTGTGGTATTAATGGCGGGGCGTGGGAGGGCACGCGAATGGAATCGCGTGGAAGGAGGGAGGGGAAGAGTGAAGGGAAACGAAAGGGATGGGCATGAGTGGGGGATGACCCGCCTCTGAAAAAGACGCGGAAAAGGGTAGTAACGTCATTTAGCGAGGGAAAGGCGTTGCAGAGAGGGTGCAGAATCGGGGTCTGACTCTGGACTTTGCGAAGGAACCAGACCGAACATCCATTACCGCCACTCCTTTTAGTTTAGTTTAATCATTTGTTATTAAATAATTAATTAATGAAGGGGTTATTCACTGATCATCATATAATAAAAACAAAAAATCGAGGAAGTGGCATGTCAAATCCGTGAGGCGGAATAAAGCCAGGGTTATTGGGGAGGACTACAGGTAGAAGACTCGACTTCAATGTGATGAGCCGTTTCCCATGAATGTAGGAGTTAAAATAAAATTTAAAAATTAAGAGAAAGTATAAGCATAAATAAAATTATTTTTCTAAGTTTGGGTTGAAGTCTTAGTCAACGGCTCTAAGTCAATCATTGCATCCGCCACTTTTTTTCACAGTGGTTGTTGGGGTTGTTTTCATGTTTAAAATCATAGGAAGCAATAGTGTTTTGAGTGGGAACACGGATAACTACCTGCTTTGATCAAAATTACAGTCTCAGTGTTTGGTGGGGGGGAAGAAAAAGAGAGGGAAGGAAAAAGATCGTTGAAGAAAGGAAACGGGGCGGCGTGATGGTTGGTATGTTTTAGGAAACACTCCACTTGCGTCACCCCATGAGACGATTCATTCACTCTATCCCGTCTCTCATCTCTAACATCTTCCAATCTCAGTTTGTGAATACTATACTGTATATCTATGAAGCAAATGCCACGTCCGTTTTAATATTAAAGCTAATTAACTAATTTAAATTAATTTAAAAAATTAAGTTAGTTATTTGTAATCAATATCTGTTATTTTTTTAGAAGTATTATTGCCAATCAAGTATATTAGCTAGTATTATTACTATTATAAAATCTACATTTAAAAAAATGAATACAAGAGATAAAATGAATTAATGTCTTATATTCAAAACTAAAATAAAAGTTAAACTATCTTTCATATTAAGGAACAGAGGCAATACTTCTTATTTAAACATGCCTCTTATTTGTCAATACTAAGTTTTCTCATTGAACATTGTGACCCCTTGTTATGTTTGAATGAGGGTTTAAAAGGGGGAAAAAAAAGCTTATTTCTTACTCATGAAAAAAGCAAAAATAATTGTTCAACATATTACGATTTTGAACATACATTGGTGCTTAGGACGTGGGAGGAAAAGGCTTCACATGCAAATCAAACCATGAGGGAATCTTGGAGGGTATCCTGTGATGGAGAATCACCAACAGCAAGACAATATCCCACTGCGTAAGAGGAAGAAATGCATCTGCATAATTGAGCTGGGAGTGTGGGGGGGGAAAACATTGAAGGGAATAAACTGGACAACAGTGTTGAACATGGTTTCAAAAAATGGGCTGAGGATTGATGCAGGGAGGTGACAGGCAGGTGACAGGAGTGGGCCCAATGAGAACTACAAAGGATTGGGCCCAATAGACGGGTTTAGTGAAGTACAGGGACAACCCCAATGGGGAGTCGCACGTATGTCTGTCTGATTAAGATGGTCACATTCTCTTGTTTTGCATAGGAGGGATGAGAGAATCAAAAGGGTTGGAAGTGGAGCATTCTTTGATTCTGGACTACGACGTTGTCCACATTATCCTCCACAAACCCCTCTTCCTCTTCTCTCTCATGCTTCCCTACTTTGTTCCCACCTTGTTAGCCTCTGTTCCTTCATATCCCATCACCCTTTTTATATTTAACTCCATCTGCTCCAAGCCTCCAAACGGACCCCCGTGTATTACACTACACAATCTCCGAAAATAAACTCCATTATTTGTTTTTAATTAAAATTTCTCTGCAACCTCAATTTTGTGGTGGATTCTTCACTTACTTGGATTATTTATATACTCCCTTCGTTCCTTATTATAAGAGACATTTGGTGCTTATGGTATGTTCCTATATATAAGAGACATTTAAAAGTTGTCTCTATTTTTTTGTGTTGATTTCCTATTTTACCCATATTTATTGTCTCCAATTCACACACTCTCTCCCTCTCACTTTTCTTTCTTTCAATAATTTAATTGTTCTCTCTCATACTCTCTCTCCTTATTAATGAGGGTATTTTTGGAAAAAAAATTATATTTTTTACACATTGATTGTTCTTAACTACTTTTAACTGTTTTTTTGATCAACGTAATTCGGTTATTCGTCTCTTATAATAAGGAACGGAGGGAGTATTTAGTAAATGTTTACGAAATTTCGTTGCTTAGGAGTCGTGAATAACAGAACCACGTCTCCTTTTACGTTCATTAAATCATATGTAATGCATATAGATCCAACTATATAGTTTTTAAAAAAAAAAGTATCTTACGTTCATATTTTTTAAAATGTTTTATTTTTTAATTTGTACTCATTATTTAAAAAATAATACCCAAAAAATTTTAATTTTATATCCGGTTTTCACAAAATTCATAAAAGTTGAAGTTTTTATTATATGTAACATGTTCTGAACTTTGGGTTTTATACTTTTTATATGGATAATCCTCTTATATTTAAAATTTTGTAATAGACATCTTCTAACAGTCTAAATCTTATATCTATACAAGTAACTCTTTTCTTATTAATTTGGCGGTTGTTTGCCCAAAAACAAGATTGCAAAAAATTTCACTTGCATCACTATTATGGTATGCTCGTGTTTGGGCTAAATTTGTATTGGGCTTGCCCCAATAAATTTTACAAGACCATGGCAGTAAGAGAAGCCTACTCTGTTTCAGTGCCCAAAAAACGATCTGTGACTTTATAAAACAATTAACCTAAAGAGAAGAAAGATAATTACTCTATGGTGCAGGGACATAGAGCAAGTGGGCTTGAAGAAGATCAAGGCCCAAGATGGTAAAAATTTTAATTGGAGGCTCGATGCTTTGAACCACTTGAAGCTACCAAGAGTCCAAAAAATGAGAGAGGGCGGTTCTTATCGCTAAACTCACAGACAATGAGCGTTTAAGAACATGTATAACCAATAACACATTATACTCATGTCTGGGCTAAATTTGTGGTGGGCTAAGCCCAATTACTTGAGAATTTGGAGCGAAGAGTCCTGGTGTTTCCTAGTAGTTAGGAAAGTTGGAAAACTTGCAAAATCCTATAATAACCCATGGTCCATGGGCTCAGCAATAAGAACTATATCCTCTCATTAAAAAAAAAAAAAGAGGGTTCATTTTTGGTCGTGGCGCTTGGGGTAGTACTCTTAATCTGGAATGGTCTGATTAAACACTTGAGGGTCTGTTATAGATTTGACTTGCCTAATATAGTATCGTTAAGGAGGAGCTGGATTAAATGCCTTACCTTTTGCTTGAGTTGAGCCCAAGGGTTTGCCTAAATTTCAATTGGATCTTGCAAAAAAACTAGTCTATCATAACATGATAGATTAAGGTTTGAATTCCAATTCAAGTAGTTTAATTTCTAAGAAATTTGTAATAAAAAATTTACTTAAATTTGGATCAAATCCAAATCCATAAAATTTTTATCATTTTATGTATCCAAATAATGGATTGTTTTAAATTCAAATCCAACCCAAATCCCCACTAATCCAAACATAATACAAGGAAGGGTTAAACAGCATTTTTTCCAGAAAGTTTTCAAAAAGGAGTTGCAGGCATTTGGAAGTTATTTTTTAATGCAATTTTGTGCTAAAAGTACTAAAAATGCAGCAATTTTGTCCTGTCCTAGCAAATCTAAACAGTCAACATTAGTTGACCGAGTTGAAAAAGCATTTTTACCCTGAAAGTTTTCAAAAAGAAGCTTTAGGTATCCAGAATTTTTTTCGGTGCAATTTTGCTCCGGAAGTAGTAAAAAAACATAGTAATTTCACCCTACTCTAAATTGTCACTTGACTATTATATAATATATCAATTTATAGGTTACCTAAATTAGTTTGAGAGAAAATGATGAATATGAGAAGCAAAGTGGACTAAAATTTTATACTTATGACTAAATCTAACTCTCAATTAATTTTTATGTTAAGGATAAAAAGTATTCATCTATATTTTTATTAACTTTTTATCATAGATATAATGCTTTTCAAATTTATTTTATATATAAAAAGTAGACATATGTTTATTTTATATGTTGCATAGAGTTTTTGAAATGATCACTCAAGAAAATAATTTATTAAAAAAGTGTTGCTTATAAATTTTCTTATATTTTATGTTGCTATATTATTTCATCCTAAGATGCTACATCATCATCACACTAAAAAAAAAATGACAAAAGAAACCTCTTTCTCTTTTGTCATCATCATTGGTGTTCATAAAGACATGAACAATCAACAAAAATAACTATAAAGCCGGATCAACAATTACCCAATATGTAGACAAAACATAAATCTGAAGAAGAATAAAAATTTCCTCTTTCATCATCGTCATCCATAAACATTCAATTAAAAAAAAAAGGAACAAAACCAAATCAAACTACAAATATTTTTAACCCTTTGGTTGATAAAGGGTACAAAAATGGTAAGAGAATATATTAATATAAAATATAAAAAAATTTATAAGCAGTACTTTTTTGATAAGCTATTACTTACTTGAGTGATCATTTCAAAAGCTCAATACAATACATAAAATAAACGTATGTTTAGTTTTTATATAATAAATAAAATTGAAAAATGTTATATCTATGATAAAAAAAATAAATGAAAATATATATGAATACTTCTTATCCTTAATATAAGAGCAAGTTGAGAATTAGATTTGGTTCTAAATATAAGATTTTAATCTACTTTACTTATTCGACTTATCATTTTCTCTCAGACTAATTTAAGGAACCTATAAATTAATATATTATATAAGAGTCAATTGGCAATTTAGG